TGTAAATCAATTTAAGTAAGTTGACCAGATTCACAATATTATTTATACAAAACTGCAAAAGTGTGTGTGTGTGGGGGGGGGTTTACACATTCTAGTGTCTTCCCCCGTCTCTTTTAGAGATGTAAAGCTTTCATTCTCAAGGTCTTTCACTTTCTTAGTTCCCTCCCACAATTTTGTTTGCTTTTTGAGGCTATTGTGAATGAGAGTGTTCCCTCTTCCCATGATCTCTTTCTCCGGGTGTTTGTAACAGCAATATGGAAATCTACTAATATTTGTAAGGTAACTTTGTGTCCTACTTTTCTCAAATGTTGATAGTTTCTAATTTTTTTCTCCTGGAATTTACCGCATCTTATATTTAATATAATATCATCAAAAAAGTAATAATTTGAACTCTTTTCCTATCTGTATCCTTTTAACTTATTTCTTATGTCTTATTGTTCTAGCTACCCCTTCAAGCACTATGTTGCAAAAGTGTGAGGATAGTGGACAACCCTGCCTTATTCACAATGTAACCAAATAACTGAGTTTTTCTCCATTTAGGGTAATGTTGGTTGTGGGTTTGTCATATAGAATCTTTATTATATTGAAGTATGTTCCCTCCCATCCAAGTTTGCTTCAGACTTTTATCATGAAGCCAGTCAGTTCCCAAATAACTACTGAGAGACATTATTAATTAGAAATGATCAACATATAGCTTAGGCTCATTTTTTTAGCTAGCTCTTATAACTTAAATTAACTTATTTTCATTAATGTATGTGCTGCCCTTTGGCTTGTTTACCTCATGTACATACTTCACATCCTGCCTGCTCTGTGTCTCATGGCATCTCCTCATGACTCTTTAGACTCTGCTCTTCTCTTCCCAGCATTCTCTCTGCCCCAAATACTATCTAGTCATTGGCAAGTCAGCGTTTTATTAACAACAAGAGCAAAACATTTTCAGTCTACAGAACGATTATTCCACAGCACTTCCCCTGATTTGTCTAATTAAAAAGTAAGGTTTTTATTTTAACAGAGTAAATTTATATACCACAAAACAGTTATCAATTAAGAATTATAATTACAATATCCAGTCCTTTTGTCTTAGGCAAAATAGAGAAAATACTCCATCAGCTGTCTTCTGAAGAGTCCAGAGTTTCATATCTAATTTACTTTCTGCAATGATTTGGGAGAACAGTAACAGTAACTATCTAGTCTTCAACTACATCAAAGACATAAAACGGATAAAATAGTATTTTTGAGTAAACAGGAAGTGTAGAGCAAGAAATTTCCAAATTAAGACACCCTAGGTTCTTGTGTAACACTGAGGCACCCAACTTAATCATACAGGCCTAGTAATCTGCCATACATTTTTGAGATGCAGGGAGTTTTGAAGGACTGTTCTAACCATGTCTTGGCCAAGCTTGGCAGCCACTCTTTTGTACATCTTGCTGGTCCAGTTTGAAATGAATACTGTCAGAAATTGAGGCAAGTTTTCTTTGCCCAAATGACTAGTTTTTGCCATAAAGAAAGCAAAATCTGAATAGAGGTTCTTTGATGCCCAAGATTCTCTTTTGAAGTAAATTGGTACTGTCTGGAGCAGACATGACTCACTGTCATGAATAGCCTTTGGTTATTAAACATCCTGAATGCCATATTCTGTAGATCTTTGAAGTGTTTGAAGACCATCTACCTAAATATATCTGTTTAACCTTGAAAATATTCTAATATGACAAGTTTGATTATTATAGAAGACTAATTACTTACCTGTATATGTAATTTTAGCTAATTATAGTATAGCAAAAATAACTTTATATTTCTATCAATAAACCAAATCCTTACCAATGTAAAATATTTTGAGATTAATATTAGTGTTTTGGATTAAAGTATATTCAATAATTTACCATTTTCCTATCATTTCTATATCTATATCTATATCATACAGTTGTATGATATAGATATAGATTCAAGGATCTCTTTCCTTTTTAAATAATTTAACTCTTTGTTTAGCATTTTCTCTGACTGTGATCAATAACAATTTGTAACCAACCCCCATAAACAATGAGAAACATCCATAATCCATTGAATTACCACAACCCACTTATACTCCATCTCTTGGGAATATGGGCATCATTTTTTAGACTACCTTCTGTTATTTGTGGGTGATGATATCTTTGGGAAAAACTTGAGAAAATCAGGATAATTGTTAAGTCTTGACTAGAGTAATTTGTGAAGTTGGACCATTCAGCAAGCAGCCTTGAGGCTGTTTGAGATGCAGAATTCTGAGAAGACTGTAACAGAGGCATTTTGAGATGCTTGTTCACCTGGGTCAAATATTTTCATTGGTGTCTGGTCTGCATGTTCTGATAATACACAAACTTTTAAGGGTAACCTGCATGTCTGTATTAATGCAGTATAGACTGCGTGTTTTATATAAGTCATCCAAAGATGATTAATTGGTTTTATATTTGAGCAGATAAAATATACATTACCTGCTTTATAGATTTTCTAGGTTTATTTCTTTATGTACATAATGAAGATTTTCAGGGAGATCTTCACCTATCAACCCTGATCCATATCAACCTTGAATGAATCCACAGCATCTCATTTCCTGTGGAAATAAAAGCATAACCTCTTTCCCAAAGCAACATATCTTTGACTTCTATTTTGAAGTCAAGATATTTTTAAATACATAGGTTGTTTTAATGTGACAGCTTTCATAATCCAATGTCTCTTAGTTGCTATTGCCTCTTTATCAGTAGTCAAAAAAATTTTAAAGACAACACCATAGCATATAGGATCCAGACTACCTGTTTATTTTCTATCTTTGCATGGCTTTTTCCTTCATATAACTTTATTCTTTCTTTAAAGACTTTACTTTATTATTTTTAAACTAATTTTATGACTGTCTATACCATTTCTCTTTCCTCTCCCAAGCCTATGTACATTTTTAAACACACTTAAGAGGTTTTTCTCCTTCTTTTTTTTTTTTTTTTTTTTCATTGGTTAAGTCTTTATTTAGGCCGGGCG